GATTTTATATGAAAATTTGACAAAATTAATTTAGAAAAAAAAAAAAGAGAAGTCAGTGGACCGGACCTGTGGCGCCGCCGGGTCCAGCCGGGAAAAGCAGCAAAGTGATGGAACGGAGACTGCACATGAACCACCGTGAGCATGACACCTTCCGCCACAGCCGCCTCAGTGGTCATTAAGAGGCTAGAGAAATGGTCAATGACCCATTGAAGAGCGTAGAAGCTCGAATCGCTCTCATCGATCGCAACCATCATCCTCTTCGTGTAGTCGTAGTCACACTCGGTGTTTCAGCCTCTGTCGTCTCCGGCTGCTTCTCAACCGTTGTTGTTTCCATCGCCGCCGTTGCTTGATCGTCCGCCATCAATCTCCTGTTTTAATAGTTTTTTAATTAATATTAAATGATGTGAGCAAACTTGATTCATGTGCAATGCTTTATATATTGCATGGAATGGATGATATGTCTTGAATTTGACGGACACGTGGCATGTATGGATGAGACTGTAACGTGCAAGAAGATATATATATACAACTTTACTTTATTATTTTTTATTTGTCAAAAGGAGGGTTAATGTTGATAAAGAACAACAAAAGCTGTGTGCGATATGTTCTAGTGGTTTGTAATTGTTTGTTTGCTTATGGTTTTGCTTCTTTTTTTTCTTTTCTTCTTGTCGTGCTTACGGTTTTGCTTAATCGTGGCTATCTCTATCTCGATCCTTTTACTTTTATTTTAAACGCCACTCAACATAAAGTAAAAGGAAAACTAAAAGCAGCAGAAAGAAAATTTTAGTTGAATTTGAAGAGATCGAAAAGAAATGTTAGCTTTTAGTAGAAAATAGTTCAGCTAATCTAATTAATCGTTTAATCAAATCAGATTTACTTTTATGAAAATGTCACAACAATGAATGAGAACTCGCTCTGGTTTGTAATTCTTACATAGATCACTTACAATACTTCTAACAAACAAACAAATATTGTTATATTAATTTTCTTTCTAAAAAAAAACAGTAGCAAAGAAAAACTGCTGAGAATGATTTAATATTTAATTTTATGTATGAAATTCCAGTAGTATGCAATTATTTATTTTAAATCACGATATAAAATTGTGTACGTGATTTTGCAACTACGATCGTTGACTAAGTGGCCAACTCAATCGGTTATATGAATTAAGCGACTGATTAGACATATTGTTAATCAAACTTTAGATTGTATTTTTTTGGTAAAACTTTAGATTGTATTGTTTAGGAAATTGAAGTGGTTGGGGAATAAAGTTACTAATACAGAACACTTGGAAAGTACAAAGGAAAATCGTGTGAGTGAAGTTAGATAGTTTCGTAATTCTATTTTTTAGTCTACATGTGATGGTGAAAAGTGCAGTCCAAAACAGCTTTTATCCGTTTAATAATCTTATCGTCCGATTAATATTACTTTAATTGCATGTAAAATCATCTTCCCTAGTTGTTTATAAAGTTTGAGGAAAATCACACAGTGAGAAGTGAGAACATAGTAAACAGAATCAAATTGTTTTAAGTTATGTAGATGCAGAGTGATTTGTTAACGGGTCGTAAAATGAAAATGTTTTAAAATTAAATTTGAAACATATAATTGAGAGTTTTAAAATAGAACAGATAAAAAAAAGTTCTTTCAATTATTCTTTCAGAAGCCGTTGATTCTGTGAATCATTGACGCTTTTAGTTAAAATCCACATTTCTCGAATTACTTAAAATTAAGGTTTTGATATCCAAAGATAGTAAAAGGTGAAGAAAAGAAAGAAAAGGAGAAAAGCAAGAGGATATTGATATGATAACATAAAAAGCCTCTCTACTCATTTTAATAAAAGTGGCCTACTAGTCCATATAGTGATATAGATGATGTTATCCGAGTAGATTTTTTTTTTTTTTTTTTTTGGGATAAAACTATATGAATAACGGCGGCGTTGATTATTGTGATTGCAGTAGTCAATATGATTCGTATAGTATAAGTGCAGCTAGTGTAGCTAGTTACTGATCGACTAGTCAAAATGTTAAAACGATGTAGTATATCCCATCTATCGTCTTTGATCGTTAAACACTAAATAGCAGAAACTGATCTGTACATGTTTAGATAGTGCATTACCACATGCATGAACAAACAATCAAAACAGACGAGTTTTAATACAAATGTCTATGAGATGGATCATTTGCTAAATAGTTCAACTGTTGATAGACCAATCATAGTCTTGGTAGACGATGTTAACAGAACCTCTTCCATCACCAAGAAGATGGGTTAAAAGACCTGCTTTGTTTGCATCTACATAACTCATTATCCACTTCAACATTTTCTTCTCTTCACTGAAATCTTCTTTGTACCTACATTGACCACAACAAACATATATAAAATGCTTTTTATGATTATGAAATTAATATGAGTCTTTGACCGATTTGAGCAGATAACTACTAGCGTTTCAAAACGCCATCTCAACTCTGAATGAGGCTAAACCCTACAAACCCTTTCAGAGCATGAATCTATCCTTTCTTGGTCCACTAGATCGTGAATATGGAGATTTATAGAATTTTTTTTATTTTATAACCAATTAGCTACTATGACAGGAATACTGTAACTTTGTTATTCATATGAATCATATTAAGTCTCGTAAATCAATTTTCAATGTAGAAACTATTGTAATGAGAAATAATTACCACTTGATGATTCTCGATAGATGAACGACTCTCCTGGGAAAGAAAACCTCAATTCCACCATTTTGGAAAAACTCTCTAGCTGCTCGTTTGAGCTCAGCTTCAACTCCTTGTGGTGTGAAAAACCTCAACACTGGACTTGATTTTGTCCCATCACAAAGCCCAAAATGTACCAATGGATTCAGTTTTTGAAGACCAAGCTGCCATTAACAAAGATGGGAATATTCAGTACTTCTATGAGTATATGATTTCTTTTCTCACATCGTGATCGGAAAACCACTGATATGGATTCATACAATTATTACACATTAGATTCGGGAAACTCTAAAAAGTATTACCTCGTGCCGTGTATTGCCGTTCATAAATGGCTTGATAAATGGATAAGAAGGTTTGCGACCGCCTCGAAGGATGTCGTTTCGTATGGAGCTAAGGGAATAAGAGTATCCTCCAACGACGTACTGAAAATCGGTGAAGAAGGATCTTCTTGCGATCATTCCATCGGAACGTCCGATTCTGATCAATGCATGGATCACCATTGCGTTGTACAAGTTCAGGAAAAATGCTAACTTCTCGTCTGTTGAGAGTTCTTGAAGTTTCAACCGTTGAAGGTCTTGAGCCAAATTCAAGTACCTTCATCCATCCATGATTATGCATTAAGATACTATATATCTTTTGATATTAAACTAACTTCCTAAACGTAATTAATTAATAAATATTGTCAACCAAGAAAATGAAAGTGTACCTTCGAAATTCCTCGCTCTGGCTGATTCTCATGTAATCAACAAGGGAATGGTCATCAGAAGAATAAGACTCGAGAATAGCAGTCATGATTTTGAATAGCTTCTGTCCAACCATGGCTGCATTTTGGGGTTCCATGTCGTTCGTAGAGCCTCTAAAATTGTAACATTTTGAAATAAATGGCTCGTGCTCAAGGAATCTGTAGTAATGATTTCCATCTTCGAAGTCGTTTTCTCTACGAATTTTGAAAACAATAGAAAGGTTATAAAATTCCAGTAATTTAGTAAGAATATTTTGTCCATCTAAAACCATTTACAAAAGAAAAAGGAAAGAAGACTTTATTTACCCAAAGACATGGTGGATAAAGTTCTTCTTGGCTAGCCTCTTGCCAAATTGGACGGCCTGCATATAAGACCGCAAACAGATGAGCTTAACAAAACACTATAAACTATATAGTCATCAAGAATTAAGTTGAGATTCAGAAAAAAAAAAAAGTAAATGTAGAAAATATCATTCTAAACAAAAACTGAAATTAATTAGGACACAACGATACAAGCATTTTACGTGTAGTACTATATAGCCCCTATTAGTCTATTTGATCAGGAATCGATCTTTTGGGTAAATTGTAGGTATGTTTTTTTTTTTCAGATAATTTAAGCTAATTGTATAGGTGATTTGGACAATTCATATCATATTAGGACAAACTCAAATACTTGTCCCAAAGTAAACATCCGTAAAAAAATATTTGTTTAAGAAATAAATTAGCCTACATTATTTAAAAAATTTCAAAGTCGTAATACTAATTAGTACGTACATATATATATCATGCGTTCAGATTTTTCTGATTATTTTGTTTTATCTCATAAATACATCGCATGTTATCGATATTTTACATACTTCACGAGTTCATATGTATGTACTAATGTACAAGCAATGTTAATGTATGACCATTATGTAATAATTTTAGTGACTAATATAAAGCAATAACTAATTTAAAATAAAAAATAAAAATCAATCCTTCTAAATTTTTTACATACACGAAATGAAAAATATACAGCTTTTACTATTTTAGTTCCAAAACAAATCATAATTGATATTTGGTCAATCGTTTTAGGTATATATTGCCATATTTGTTTATATTCGATTTTAAACCTAATATTGATTTCAAACCAAATAAGTGGTGCGTATAACACACGATTAGACTAAAGAGTTTGAATTTAATTTCTACGTAAAGATTAGTATGTATATGTGCGTAACAGACGATCAGAATTTGAAAATAGCGTACCTTCTTCCTCCCGCAATCCAAGTGATCAATGAGTATCTCGATCATCTCGGCGCCGGAGAAACAGTTCTTAACTATCTTCATCTTCAACAAACGGTCCTTAATCGGCAGCTTCTGTCTCAAAACCCTAACGAATCTCATCATCTCGTCTACAACAACGTCCTTATTCTCTTCGTCGAACCCGTACATCACCGGCGACGGCGCATCGCCGGAACACTTCTCCGTCAGAAATTCCTTGACCCTCCGATCGAATTCTCCACTGTTTCTCAGCGAATTCAACGCCATCAATCCGCCAAAGTGTTTCTCGTTGAAGAAGATCTGAGGGACCTGAGAATCCCCTGTTCTCTCGATCATCTCCTTCGCTCTCTCTGTGTACACATCGATGTTGATCTCGGAGAAATCGAATCCTCGTTCCCGGAAAAACGATCGGACGGCTGTAGAGTCTCTGCAATTGGATCTCGAGAAGAAAGTTATTCGGCCTCTGAATTCTTCTTCGGTTTTCAGCTTCGCGAGAACCTTGACTCCGGAGATTTCGAACTCGGTCACGTCGGATTCGGCGAGATCCGCCTTCGAAGAGAGACGTTTCGAAATCGCGTTCCCGCTTTGGCGGATGAATTTCATCATGTCGACGGTGAATTTCTCCGGCGAATAAGACTTGGTCGTCAATTCCTCTGACGAGACACGTGGCGGCGGCTCCGGTTTCGGAAGCTGAGGATGCGGCGGGAGAATCTTCTCGAGACGTCGACCTTCGATTGAGATTTCCTCCATCTGAGTTCTTAGAGACTCACTCGGTGTGGCGGGATGTCCGTGATCTCTGCTCCATTTTGAATTTGATTCTGTGCAATTTTTGAATTCTTCATTTTCGATAATACCGTTCGTAACTTTCTCATGTTTTCTCGGGTTTTCTCGAGAAAAACTAATTTCCTCATTGACGTTTTTTTCTAAACTCGATAAGTCCATCTCTAGAGTGGTGCTCTGTAACCAAACAGAACGGGGAAATGGAGAAATATACCCCAAAAAAACATTTTCAACAATCTATAAAAGAATAAAATCAGCAATTTTGGTAAGTGTAAACCCAATTAGTCTCATGCTCAACTTTACAGTCAAATACAACTCATTTGTAAACTTGCCATATAATTTCATATTTACTAAAATTAATAATGTTATTAACTTATGAGAGTTTCTACCGAAATATACCAAAACAAAGATTGAGAACATATTATTTCGTACCCAACGAAAATAAAGTCGGAACCGAACGATTAGTGCTGACCAAAAAAGCACAGAGAAAAAAACCTCTCTCACTATTAGTTTTCTTAAGCATTCTGTTTCAGAGAAAACTCTTTTTTTCTTACAAGATTTATGTTTTTAATTAAGTTCTTCATTCTTTCGATTTTAATATAACCTTTCTTAACACAGCCCAACACTAGGGAAGTATATGATCACATAGGGAAGTTGATGTGTCTTCAAATGGACTGTTAAGGAAGAGCCACTAAATACATGTAGGAATATCATTGAAAGCTAACATCGTCCTTACTCCTATGATAGAATGATATATAGACTTGTCTTTCTAATAAATAACCATGAAACAAAACATATGATAGAATGTTGGTGTAATTTACATAAAATGTTTGTACTCGTTGTACATTGGAATCATCGCTGAAGTTAAAGTCTATGCCAATAAGAGTCCAATATAAGAAAACAACGGACTGGAGTCAGATAAAACCCCATCACCATTTTAAGAAAATGAAGACAACTGAAAAAATCAAAGGATGATTGAAAGGAAGAAGAAGATACAAATACCGTAACAATCTTGTAGACCAAAGCGAGAAGAATGCAAGTAATACTTACATTCATGATTGTACAAACAACGTCTTAAAAGGTGATGACAAAATAATTAGAAAAGTAAGGTTCAAAATAAAATTTAGAAAAAGGTGATAACCGACATACTTCTTTTTTGTTTTGGTTTCTCAAACAATAATATTACTTAGCTAAATGCTAAAACCACAGAGAAGACAACTTTGATGATAAAATTACATTTACTTCTACAAAATTCATTGCGACACAAATTATGAATGAAGGGGTTAAATTTTATTAAGTTTTTTTAAATTAGTGTAAAAATTATAGGTTTTAGATTTTCGATGTACCTAGAAGAATAGAGATAATGATAAAAAAATTATAGGTTTTAATTATATGAAATCTGTATTTACCTTATATAATCCTTTAGAAGAATAGATATAATGATAAAAATACTAAGTTTTAAATATATGAAAGCTGTATTTACCTTATTTAATCCTTTAGAGTTTAGAAGGATGGAGATCATGATAATAATTAAAAAACAAGCTTATTACACTTTGAAGCAGAGTAGAAGCCCAAAAGGTTCACCAAAGGCCTCCCATACCGTCACGGTCGCGGTGACGGTTAAGCCACGTGGAGAGTATTCATTTGGTTTCAGCATCTCCAGAGTCATATCTGTCGCATTCTCATTAGGCTGTCACGCTTGGCAGACGAAACCTCAGGGGAATATATAAATCTGAATCCGAATAGGATTTGGAAGTTACAATATAAACCCTCAACTTTCTGAAAATTACCGCAATTATCCCTTCGAAAAGCGAGAAAGAGTAAGAAAATAGCGATTGATCTCCTCTGCAAGTTCTCTCTATTTCTTCCCTCACTTCTTCTTCACCCTTCGATTTTTTTTTTTCCTCTGTTCGGCTCTCTCTTTCACTTCTCGATCCGACCGTCAATCGCTATCAGAGAAATGACTATGATGACTCCGCCGCCGCTGGACGTAATCTCCGATTAACCTTCTATTGTGTTTGTGTCAATTTGTTGTGGTGCTCGTGGGTTTCTTCGCGTATTTTACCTGAACCTGCTTGGGTCTCGTCGTCCTCTTCGTTTAGCTGATCCATTAGGGTTTGCTTGCCATGGATTTTTTGTTTTTCTGTGTTTGTCTACGAAGCGGTAGAATAATCGAGACAGTACCGTGATTGTGTGTATTAGATGATTGCGGTTTTTGTTTTGACGTTCTGATCATGGGGTTGAGAGATTAGGGTTTTTATTAGTCAGAAGCCTGATTTTTCCTCTTAAAATTTTATACAGCAGCAAGAGGACGAGGAGATGCTCGTTCCGCATTCTGATTTGGTCGAGGGACCTCAGCCCATGGAAGGTAAGATTTTTGGGTTCAAATGAATTTGATCTGCTTTTCTCTATTCTCTTCTATTTTCTTCTGTGGTTGGATGATGCAGATGCTATAGCACCTTTGCATAGTGCTGGAGGGTAGAAATAACGTTTCACTGTGCGCTAGGGTTTTGTCAAAGTTTTGGTTTTTGGTTTCTTAACAATTATTGATGCATTTGCAGTTGCCCAAGCCGAGCCTGCTGCTACTTCTGTGGAGAATCCACCAGCCGAGGAGCCTCCCACTCTGAAATTCACGTGGACTATCCCAGGCTTCACCAGGCTGAACACCAGGAAGCATTACTCTGATATCTTTGTTGTTGGAGGTTATAAATGGTACTAGCTTATACACTTTCTCGATGCATTTTTGCAATTGATATCCTGACGTGCATTTTATTGGTTGACGTGAGCTGATTTATCTGTTGCAGGCGAATATTGATTTTTCCCAAAGGTAACAATGTCGACCATTTGTCTATGTACTTGGATGTTGCTGACGCTGCGAATTTGCCATACGGGTGGAGCAGATATTCACAATTCAGCCTGGCTGTAGTGAATCAAATCAACAGCAGATATTCCATCAGAAAAGGTACTTTGATTGATTAGTTTTTTCATGTATTTAGCATTCTGAATGCATGCAGAAAATGAGCAAGTACTGGCAAACTTTTATTTCTCGAAGTTAGTGTTGAACTTGTAAAAGGAGTATATGGTAGACCTTGTAACGGAGTCACATAAATATTGAACTTGTTTTACCTGAAAAACTGAAGTGAACATGATTAATGATCAATATGTGAGTTGTGCTCTCTTTCGAACTTGCTCAACAGCCAGTGACTTTTTACTTTTTCTGTTTCTGGTTAACCTGCAGTCTTCATTGTAATTATTATTTTTTTTCTATGGCTGCAGAGACCCAACATCAATTCAATGCAAGAGAAAGTGATTGGGGATTTACATCATTCATGCCCCTTAGTGAGCTCTATGATCCTACTCGTGGATATTTAGTGAATGATACTGTTCTGATTGAAGCTGAAGTTGCTGTGCGGAAGGTTCTTGATTACTGGTCATATGACTCAAAAAAAGAGACTGGTTTTGTTGGACTTAAGAACCAAGGTGCTACCTGCTATATGAATTCTCTCCTGCAGACGTTATACCACATACCTTACTTCAGAAAGGTGGGCTGCATGTCTTGTTTTCTTCTTTTCAATTTGATAAATCACGAGTTGACCAAATTCTGTGTCAAGACATCTGAATAATCTACTGTTCTTGTAGGCTGTTTACCACATGCCAACGACTGAGAATGATGCACCTACGGCTAGTATCCCACTGGCGCTCCAGAGTTTGTTTTACAAGCTTCAGTATAATGACACCAGTGTAGCGACAAAGGAGCTGACAAAGTCGTTTGGTTGGGATACATATGATTCGTTCATGCAACATGATGTTCAAGAACTCAACCGAGTTCTCTGTGAAAAGCTTGAGGATAAAATGAAGGTATGCCTTCTTCTTTGTGGCCTTTCTTCCATGCTCAGATAGTGATTTGTGTTTTAAGTTTTTTTTTTTCGCTTTTTCAAGGGAACTGTTGTTGAGGGAACAATACAGAAGCTATTTGAGGGCCACCACATGAATTACATTGAGTGCATTAATGTAGATTACAAATCTACACGGAAAGAATCGTTCTATGGTATGTAGTTTTGAACAGTTACCTATCTTCTGGCGTCTTATTTTATCAGAAGCTAACATAATTTATCAAACTAACTATACAGCCGTGACTTTGTCTATTGGCAGATCTCCAGCTTGATGTGAAAGGCTGCAAAGATGTATATGCTTCTTTTGACAAGTATGTTGAAGTTGAACGCCTTGAAGGAGACAACAAATACCATGCAGAAGGACATGATTTGCAGGTTAGCTGTCTTTATATTGTCAAAGCTGTCCTCTTTCGTTCCATCTCAATGTTGAGTAATTGTCAAAGTCCTTATGTGGTACCAATCTATCTAGTTGCCTGTAAATATGGTGCAGGGTTTGTAATGCGTCTGATTTCTACGACGCAAGCTAAATCAGAGAGTTATAGACAGCATTATGACTTAGTATTATTGGAACATGATAAAATCATATTCGACTGTTTTCATAGCTACTTAGTCCACTTATACTGATATTTGAATATTTTATATTTTCAGGATGCGAAAAAAGGTGTTCTATTTATAGACTTTCCACCCGTACTTCAACTTCAGCTCAAGAGGTTTGAATATGATTTTATGCGAGACACAATGGTGAAGGTTAGTATTTGAGGTTCCAGTGACCCAACAAAGTCACCATGTAGTGCTGACTAAGTGACTGTGTTGATTTGATTTAGGCCTGCACTTATATCAATCTGTCGGTGCTGACGTAGCTTTATTTGTAGATAAATGATCGATATGAGTTTCCTCTTCAACTGGATCTCGACAGAGAGAATGGAAAATATTTATCCCCTGATGCTGACAAGAGTGTCCGTAATCTCTACACACTCCACAGGTATATATTGCCGTTGTATCTTGGCTTTTGTTACTTGAGTTTCAGATTCAAACAGGATTATGCATAAATATGATCAAGTTCTTACTGCTAGGCCT